TTTCTTAACATTTATTAATGGTACCATCATGGTCTGTCCTGTGCAGAATGACAAAACACTAAATGAGTTCTTTACTAAAACCTCTGTAACTTTGCTCCAGTTCATTTTAGCAGCATGAATCTTTGCACAGTTAATGACCACAAGTGGATTTATGGTTTCCAAGAGTTTTAGCCTGATTCATTATGGTTTTAAATARGTTATATACTGTCTAATGARAACATTATTAGGACAGGAGGGAAATAAAATAAACATATGTTCCATCCTCAATATCTCTGAAACAACAGCAGCTGTTTTAATACTTACACTTGTGATAAAGTGTTGCTTTATTTTGATACCAAGATTATTTAAGTAGAGTTTGTAAAAGCTGAAAAAACACTCAGTTACACGTCAGCATGGTGTTTTGAGCAAATGTATCATGAAAACCCCTTGGGGCTTAAGAGGTTAACTGTGGCAGCCATCTTGAACAGGTCTAAGTGTAAAGTTGGAGTTTCTTACCAACGTAGTTCTCCACATCACTGATGTAGAAGGTGGGAGCGGGCATGGACATGCCCAGCCCCTCCTTCTTGTGGACCAGGATGGGTTCGTTGAAGCCGTTCTCCTCCAGGTAGTCCAGAGTCAGCTGACTGCCGCTCAGCTTCACCACGATGTCGTCAGCACTGAAAGCACACACAGCCTGCTTTAACACGCCAACATTACACCTGCAAGCGAGACCAACTGCAGACACATGGTCAGACAGCGCCCCCCAGTGGACGTCTGGCCGACACTACAACAACAAATCACAGACTAATCACATTTGAGTCAAAATACTGTTTTAACAATCTTCCTGTTAAATAAAGTTTACATGGAGCAACATAAAAACGTCTTGGCTCTTATGTTTTAGGTGTAGAATAATGTAAACCTGACTGAGCCTTTCACAGATTAGTAAAATACATGTAATTATACATGTAAATTATATTCTATTAGAAGGAAGCTTTTTATTTTCTGTGTTTCAAGTCATTTTCATAAAATAAGTTGAACATGTGTTTTCAGGTGGATGTAAATAATGTACTGTATGTAAACAAACCCTCAGCACTGAATTTAAACACATTTTAGTCAAGAATTGGGTCATTTTCAGCTGTTTCTAAGACACGAAGTAGTTTTATTAAGTGATATGTTTCTGTTAAACCTGGATTTACTGGCAGCCCATCACTTCCTGTCATCCTGCGACAGAAAGTCAGGCACATGTTGCAAAAAATTTTAGCAAGTCCAGCTAAAAACACTGTCTGTTACTGTCAGGTTATTATCATCTTGATTGAAGTTACAGAGCTGTGGTCTGCAGGACCTGAGTGTTTTCCACTGCTTCTTTCTACTCCTGGGTTTCTGACTGTCAGCCTTTATTCTAAGTCTGGTTAAAATATTCCTCTTTAACAAGTTGAGCTCATGATAAAAACAGAGGAGATAACTTTTCCTCTACATTTACAAGAAAAACTGAGTAAAACAAAGAAATAACAAAGTGGTGAGTGTGTGGAACTGACTGATTTTTACGTTCAAACCATTTTGAAAATGTAAGAAAGCTTTTGAAGCTTATTTGTGTTGGAAGCAAAATAAAACCTGTCTTTTAGCTTTGATGGGGGTTAAAACAGCTGATATTCACCATCTTAAGGTTTTACTCACAGATTTTCTGATAAACTGATAAAACTTTTCTGCTAAAATCTGACTATCATTTCTTGTATAAAAATAAATAAATCTAGAAAATAAATATGATTTAGGAAAACATGCTCTGAATACTTTGTTTTAAAATATATTTTGGTATACTTTATAAAAATATGTTTTGTAAAATATACTTTACATTTAAATTAAACATTGGAACACACTGCGTCTTTTTTAAATACAGTGTGTGTATTTGTAAAAGTGTATATTTTTGATGCACATTTTAAAAACATTGCAATATACATTATTTATGAGCTACTGTGTATATACACTCACCGGCCACTTTATTAGGTACACCTGTCCAACTGCTCGTTAACACTTAATTTCTAATCAGCCAATCACATGGCGGCAACTCAGTGCAACAGAGCTGCTTCATGGAAGAACCTCAGCTTAGCCTGTTAGCTTTAGCGTTAGCCCCGACGCTATCGCCATATATATGTATTAGCTCAGCGCTACAC